CCCTTTCCCCCTTTTTGCCAAAACCCTTTTCTTCCCCTTCTCCACCCAATCGATCTCCTTTACGGTTTTCTCAAAATCAAATTACAAACCTGCATCTGTTGATTTTGGTGCTGGGTCAGGAGCCTTTTTGATCTATGAGCGAAGGGATTGGAATAAATCAATGGCTATGAACGTGATTTCTTGATTTACTCAAGGTATTAGCTTATTTCTTTGGTTGTATTTCGAAAATAACAATATTTATTTACCCTATGTCAAAGTGAAGCATGTTCATGTGCTTACTGATTAACTGCAATTTCCTGTTCCAAATTCTAATTCAGTACATGATGGTTTGTATTTCTCCTGAAACTTTGATGATTGAGTATGACGATTGATTTCTTTTTGATTAATCATTGGTTAGATTCTTGAATCTTGACATTTAGGGATGTTTATGCTTTCTAAATGTTTTATTTGATATTATCTTTGTTTCCTTGGGTACAGAATTTGAGTTTCATTTTATGAACTTGATATATTTCCTTGAAAGTAGCTAATTTGATCCTATTGTGTTTTTTACATTAAAAAAAAAAAAAAAATCATTTCTATAAACTAATGACATGTTAAGAAATAAAAAGAAGTCATAATCTTGTTGATTGTTCTTTCTATTACTATATAATCAGCAAACCTGCACTGAATATAATTCATAGTTTCTCTGTTAACTTTTGATATGGAAGCTATTTTCAATAAATTTTCCTGAAAAAAAGGCCAAAAAAAAAAAGACATTTGATCAGAGTATTATAACTAAATAATATACTGTGACTTCAAATGAAATTAAGGAAAAATGACTTATAGGGTGAGAAAATAAATTCCTCATAATTGAATTATTCTTGGAGTGATAAAAATGCTTGACTCATATTTGTCTGATTAATTAATTTTTCTAGTAGTTGATAGAGAAGGATCCAAGCGAGGCCATTTCCCTGATTTGGACTGCAATAAATTCCGGCATTGATTTGTTCCAATCCCTTCGTTATATTAATTTAGCTGAGATCAGAACTCTACACTAAAAACTCTCTTAACACTAAAAATAGTTGTGCGTTCCTGGTTCCCAAAAAAATTAGAAAGAGAAAACTTGACATAATGGACAGCCTCCTCGACCGTTGTGCTAATGTCAACATGATAGTGCAGTGAATATGTAAACTCTAAACTCAGTTTTGTGGAATTTTAAAATATTCCTTGATTCTAGTGAAGCATTTGTTAGAGTTGATTAGCACGAGTTAAATTTTACCTTTAGGACAAGATTCTCAATCTACCATTTATTCTTTCTCTTCTTCTCTGCCAAATTCGATGAAATCATATTAGAACCACGGTTGGAGCCCTTGAAAATGTATATGACCTCATTCAAGTCTGGTCAAGATTTTAAGGTATGTACAAAGGCTTTGGGGATTAGTTGCAGAACCCTTACAGGCTCTTGCTTTGCTATTTGATTTCACAGTGACTGAGCCATTGGATTCTGAATTTTCCCATCCATTTAATTCTTGAGAACCATTACAATCATCCTCAGAGCTAAATACTTGAACTCCTTCCATTTTCTCCACCATTAGTCTCTTCTAGTTCATCGGTGCAATTTTTATTAGCATTCTTGTTCTTCTTCGTCTGAGCAATCCGCGGCTGCATTTATTAATTTAATAAATTATTAACAAACATAATAGATAATATAAAGCGAGTTGAATTCATTTTGCTCAAATCTTAGAAATTCTAGATTTCTTCTTTGGAGAAGTTTCCTCCAGTTTCTCTCCCAGTGTCTCAAGACTTCCTCTTGAATTACATTTCCTTTGACAGAATCACCATTTTCTGCAGTGACTTTTTACTTCCCCAGTTGGCCACTGTCCATCTCTTCTTTAATAAACAAAATGCCTTCCATCAAATGATCAGCAGGAGAACTGGTGGAAAGTTATGATCATTTTTGTAGTCCATAATACAAAAACGAGCGGACTGATCAGGAAAATTAACAACATTTTCTGGATTTGGAAAAAGACTCTGTCAATTTAGTACTTCAAGAAAAGAGAGATGCAATCTGCATTTTAATGGTCTTGTAAATATGTTTACTTTCTTACCTCCTGAACTCTTGTTAAAAGCTCTGTAGATGACCCACTCACTTTGCAAGAATAAAAAGCTTTAACGTGAGGTCATTAAACGCCAAAAACAAAGAAAAACAGTGGAAAACAGGGGATAGTTGTTTTCTTCATTCCGAGTAGGATTTCTAACCTGAGAATCCCCTTATGCATCTTCCAATAACCAGCATCAGTGGTTTTTTGAGCTGTTTTCAGTTTTTAAGAATCTTCATTTGGTGCGGAAGTGTTTAAAAATTCTTGTAATAAGAATTGAAAATAAGAATTATATTGGAATAATCTTGTTTTATATTGATATATGATTGATTGATTAAAAAGTGTATAATACCCCTATATTTATATGCCAAATTATCCCTAATCCTATTAATAAAAGGAAATTAAAATAAGGAAATTAAATTCTAAAAGAAAATAAACTAGTCTTAATCTAAATAAAATTTAAGAATAAACCTATTACAATTAGAAAAAGAAATTAGAAAAGATAATTTAAAAAAGACAAACTCCTAGATAAAGTGGAACTATTAATTGTAGTTGTGATGTACTACATCATCATTACTACTGTGTAAGGGGAAAACAGGGAATAAAACTTCGTTACTACTTTGTTTAGCTGAAATAGCATCAACAAATTCAAGTGATCTAGTGTATCATGTACCTCGTGGTAATGAATGCTGGAGAGTTTGGGTTAATTAAGCGATTGATAATGTTAGCTTATATTATCCTACACGTGAGCTTTTCTTGAAGATGCATTAGGAAGTACAATTGGCCATATTAGTTACATTGAAGTCCATCCGCTGTAATCCTAACAAATGTATACTTAACTTCTTTTCTATCTTAATTCCATTTGCATTTGCATTTACATTCAGAGAACTATTAATTGTAGTTGTGATGTCCTACATCATCATTACTACTGTGTAAGGGGAAAACAGGGAATAAAACTTCGTTACTACTTTGTTTAGCTGAAATAGCATCAACAAATTCAAGTGATCTAGTGTATCATGTACCCCGTGGTAATGAATGCTGGAGAGTTTGGGTTAATTAAGCGATTGATAATGTTAACTTATATTATCCTACACGTGAGCTTTTCTTGAAGATACATTAGGAAGTACAATTGGATGGCCAATTAGATGCATCGAAGTGGATTAGTTGTAATCGTAACAAAGATAAGCTTTAACTTTTTATTTTATTTCCGTTTTCATTTACATAATGATGGTTATCCATAATGTGAATTGAACATATTAGGTTATCTTTAAAATGAAAAAGATGATGGATGATTTACTTTTGATTTGCATGCTTACTCCGAGTTTATTAATTATACACTTATTATTTCTGTGAAGTGCAGGGAGTTTATTTTTTTGGGGATTGCTAAATTGTTGGTAAAAAAAAAAAAAATAAACTTTGATATGGCTCGAATATTTTGTAACATTTTAATCATTTTTTTTTGAAGTAGTAGTTTATAATGTTAGCTTATTGGTAGCTAACTTTTTTAGTAAGCTAGTGATGTTCTTAGAATTTGTTTAGATGAAATTTACTTATTGGCATATTGTATCGAAATGTACTCAATATTTTTATTTTTTCGAAATTATGGAAAACTTTATTAGATATGGATTTATTGAACTGTGCTATTTACCGCGTGCTAAATGGTACAACTTAGTATGCCATAAATTACACTCTCTTTTATGGCGTACATGTGCAGACCGTAAAAAATACGTCTGACATACTTTTTACGGCATGCATTAAGGAGTGTTGTGTTTTTAATTATTTTTACGGCCAATAATATTGCAGGTTCGTTCTTCCTGCACCACTTATCATCATCAATGACATTGCTGCTTAATTTTTCGGGTTTTTCTTTGGGAGAACTCCTCTTATCAAGATATCACTGAAGAAAACATGTGAGGGCTTTATTGGAGCATCATTTGCAACTATTGTCTCCGCATTTGTGGTGAGCAGTCTATCCATTTATTTGGCAATAGTTTTAATATGATGTGCCAATTTTTATAAGCGGTTGAGGGCCTTGAGGCTATATCTTTGGCTTACCGATGTCTATTTTGGTCCTTCATATCTTTCAATCTTTCTTCCCGAATTAAGTTCGCGAGCAATTTAAGTGTGAACTTTGCCAGTGGTTATACCTGTGTGGTTGGATGTCCCTATTGGTGCCTATCATTTTAAACATACCATCTTACTTTCTAAGAAAACGAGAAGTGAGATGGTAATACACATATGAATGGTGATTATAGGAGGAATATGCTTGCTAAAAATTGTGGCGATAAATTTACTTTCACTTGTTTTGCTTGCAAATATATTGGGTCTTTTTCAGTTGTTAACATGTCCAAGAAATTTGACCTTTTCTGTCTTATTCCTAATAATCTTTTCTTATATAGTCGATATGTTTGTTACTGAGGAACTTAAAATTTCTCGTGCTCCGTGACATGTAGGATTTATCAATTGTCTGGCTTCATTGTGATCCTGTTCTGCTGTTCAAGCCAGATTATTTTACCGTCCCCCAATGGGTTGCTGGATAGGTAATTGGTTTTCTGTGTCTAACCTGTGTTATCAATGCATCTTTTCTTCTGAAAGTTTTTGTATTGATAAGATTGACTTTTCTGTGCATGAAAGTATCTGATGCTTCAGAACTTATGATGCTTGTTTTTAAGATGTGTATTTAGTAATTATATATCTATTGATCCTTTTATCTTTTTAACACTTCGTTCAAAGGATCTTACCTAAACGTTTAGTTTCATTCTCTTATCTTCATTGCATGCCAATTTGTCTACTTGATTTGCAAATGAATAAATGAAGAACTTCTGTCGCACAGTTATGTCATGAAGAGCATGCATACACCATATTTTGGCCAAAAACTCTTCAATTGAGAAATAAATTCAAAAGATAAAAGTGCTTCAGTAGCTAAAATAAATACTAAGTCCCTGTTTGGTACCCATTTCTTAAAACTATTTTTTTCCTCGAACTCATTTTCAACCACATTTTATGACCCACGACTTTTATCAAATTTTCAACCACCCATTTCGTTAATTTTTATCAAATTCTTAAAAGGGGCTAAAAAACATGAAAATTTCAATAGAAACTCTCACTTTTCCTTTACCTCTCACCTTTTGGTGATTGGAACCAATGCCCAGGGGCGGAATCAAACTTTTTGTATTGTGAGTCAAAAATTAAAATGCTATTTTTTAAAAAAAATAACATAACATTAACAAACCAAAGATGACAAACTCAAGAAATGGTCGAATTTTTAGCATGATTCAGATAATAAAAGAAATGCCAGCAAAAATCGTCTTGCAATTTTTCAAATGGATCTCTGATGGCAACTGAAGGCTATTACTCTTATTCCTTTTACCTATTTCTTTTTTGTATTTATGTAAATTATTTGTCTACTCTTTTAGTTCCCATTTGAAATCCATATCACACTGCTTTTCACAGTCACTCGATCAAACATCACCATGTTCAACAACAGCATCGTACTGTGCAATATAAACCAAGAATTGTAGTTTGTTTTGTTGGTGGGGTACAGAGATTAAAGCTTACATTGCGCAAAGAACTCTCAAAGTATACAATATTCATATCCTTCTCACAGCCAATTAGAAATTTAATAAAACGATCATTATCTATACAATCAATTTTAGTTCAATACGATTAATTGAACTAAAATAAAACGATCATTATCTATACAATCAATTAATCTTGATATAGAAAAATTATATAAAACAGAAAGTCTTGAAAACCCATAAAAAGGAAAAGATTAGCTAACCTGAAATCTAGACATCAATGGACAATGGTGAATGAGAAGCCCTAGCATGGAGGGTTTATCAACTACAGAATATTAATTTTCCTTTTTTTTTAAAAAAAAAAAAAAAGAAGTCAAAAATTTTGTGGTGTCACTTTACCACACATGACCCCATGTGTGTCCGCTCATGCCAATGCCTCCCATATCCTTGAGCTCTTATCAATCAACCAATCTAAACCCATTGTATATTGTCAATACCACTCCAACTGCCAGCCCATGCCCATGCCCATGGCAAACCTTACTCCTCTCCCTACCTGCCTTCATTCTCCGAAGCACGGAAACTAGTACTGTTGAGTGTATATGTCGGACACATTGAATTTGGATGACAATGTGACATGCGAAGGACGTGTCTCCATGTGGCATACCCTATTTCATATTCTTTTTGAATTTTGAGGATACAACCCTGGCTCGGACATGTCTCTACGCAACATGTTGTGTCCTACTTATCCATTCGTTTTAATTTTTGACGTGAGGATTTTTGACGTGTGAGGATATAACACCAGCATGTTTGTTTATACTCTATTAATTTCTGACACGCAAGAGACCTGACACATCAGGGTCTCAATTAGCCCATTTAGTAAACTCTTTTACAAATAATCTCTCATGGAATTATTGGTGTTGCACTTCTTTTCTTGGCAGGAACGACTTATGATAGAGTACGTCTTGTTATCTTAACATAACAAGTAGTCAGTCAAATTCAAAAAATAAAAAACTCATCTGCTAAAATTGAAAATCAAAACTAAAAGCTGAGGGTTTAATTTTTTCGAAGATAAAATAATGATATATAGATGTGTAATTTTATAATTTTCAAATGAATGTGTCGAGACCGTGACATGTTCCATACACTACTGTTTTGAAAAATTATCAAGGTGTACCTGCTGTGTCATGTCCTTGTCCTTGTTCAATCTCTGTATTTGTGCTTCATAGTCTCCTTGCTGCAACCTCCTATCAACTGTGGATGCCCAAATAGTTCGAACCAATTGTTTGTCTTAGCCACCACCTTCGTGTATGAGATTTCATCAATGTGCTCACAGTTGTAGAATAAGGGAAGGGAACCCCAGAGGTTTTAAGTTGGACATGGACAAGCATAGATGTCTCACTTCTTTGATACGTGTGAGTTGCTAACTCTTGGAACTAATCTCAGAATGTCATTTTGGGTTCCTACATTTTTTTTTTGTTGCGTGTTACCAATGGATTTAAAGTTTTGTGTTCAGTAAGATACTTGTTTAATGAACTTGATGGTGAGAATTTCTTGCATTACTTTCTCAAGTTAAGGAACTAATATTAACGAAATAGGTGGCCTCAACTGGTTGTAATAATTGGATAACGAATGGACTGTGATGGCTATGATATATGAGAAGTTAAATCTCGTTGAAAATAATCTCCCATTTGCTCTCTTAACTGATTTTCTTTTCTTTCTTCCACCATTGATAGAACAACAACCATTTAGTGGTGGTGCTGATTGAGAATAGAGTTGGATGGGAAAATGTGGCTAACATATGCTTCAACTGTGAACTATACCACCACATACACACACAAAACTAAAAATTAATAAAGATAAAAGATAAAAAACAAAGAGAGAATACTGGGCGTGTAAAAATGAGGTTGGATTTTGATGATGTGCTTGGTGGTGGTATTTGTTGGCAATGGTATTTGTGGTTGTTGATGAAGGATGAGAAAGGGACGGAGGGAGAAATTTAGTCTTTTTTCTTTGGTCTCTCCCTTTTCTTTAATCCGGATAAAGTCTTTTTTCTAACTAATTTCTTCTTTTTGTGAAAGAGTCATATGGACATCTGACTATTGTTGTCTTCATCATTGAGCATGATACACTATGGTCATACTTGATTGAGTTAAAAGTTTTATTAGGGAACTTGTAATGTCCAAGACTGCCGGTGTCCTTAAATTTCTGTTTATATAATTTTGTATTATTGAATTTCGTAATTCAAAATCTGCTCTTCATTAACGGTAGTGCTTCTTGTTTGGTTTGACAGTTCCCTTGGAGAGAGATCTCTGTTTTACCAGCACATTGTGCGATTGGTCTCTTTCTATCAATTATAGCACCTTTTTGGGGCTTTTTTGCGAGTGGCTTTAAAAGAACTTTCAAGTTCAAGGGTATGATAGTATTAATTTTTCTTTTCTTAATTGGAGCTAAGCTCTCAAAATCTAGGTTCATTATTGTTTTTCTTTATTCAGTTTCTGTGGAACTTTTTGACCCATATGTTAAAAGCTCTTGTATCATTGTATTACCCATTCTTTAATGTTTTCTTTTTGCTGCAGGATTTTGGTGATAGTATTCCCGGGCATGGTGAAATCACTGTTAGAATGGCAATTGCCAGGCTAGTTTGAATGAAGATTAAGGTATATGTATGGAGGCATGGTTACACCTAGAAGTTACATCCTTCAATACATCCGTGGTCTGATAAATCGAGCATTATCTTTGTTAATGATCTCAATATGGTTTATACTCCTGTGTAACAAAAATTTATATTCTGTTATTGTGGATCAGAAACATAAGGATGGTGGTTGTGAGGTTCATATTTATTTGATTGAACTCTTCGAATGTGTGATCTTTGTACATAACTGTTTTGCATTTTCTATTATTTTCTTCAAAATTTCTTTTGGAGCTCTTTTGTACCACAAAATGCAAGTTTGTTATAGTCTTGTAGTGATCATGTTTAGAGGTACAAGGTTTTCTGTTGCTTCTTCTCACTTGCATTATGTTATTTTGGAACATAATTTCTGGGTAACTAATGACTTTCGATCAAAAATATAAATGTTATGAGTTTAGAAGGAAAAAAAATACGTTTCTTCATAATCCCAATTTCTAGAAAGTACAAATGAAAAATGAGAATGAAGATGGGGTACACGTCATAACTACCGGGTGGCAGTTGAATGTTCCAAATTCGGTACTCCCGTGTTTTGGGGTTATTGCATATGGTGATCCAAACTATTTTTCCATGAAGCAAGTCTTCCATGAGGTTATTTTTATTTGAAAGACCAAACGAGTAAGCATTCATTTTCATGCTCACATACACGAATCTTTACATGTTCAATCACTTTCCATGGCTTGGAGAGCACCTTAATGTCAAAATAATTCTCTTTCTATACCATGTTATCTCGTCCCATTCTTTTAGTAAGGATATGATGTCCTCGCTAATGTTGATACAGGATATAATTTTGAACTCCTCACATCCTTTAGATTGACCATGCTCCTGCTTTGTCTGTTGTGATGGAGGAAAAGTTGAACAAGCGTTCTTTTGGGAGTGGGAGAACCTCACTTGTGTTTCAATATGTTGATTAAGGAGGAGGAAGTTCACTAATGCACCCTTTTACGTGCTGAAACACATTATTAGTTTACCGAGGCAAAGAAAATTAAGAGAAGTCGAGTCCTGACCCTCTCAGTTTGCAAATATCTATAGTGGACTAGAATGAAAATTACCTTTGAGTTTCTAGCTATCTTCTCTACCATTACAGTGGACTATAATGAAAAGTCGAGTGTTTTTCTGACAATGGGTTTATAATGTAAACACTGTCAAACGTTCATGTTTGTTAGTGGTTAACTGGTCGCTTGTGTGCATATGGCGATGGTCGCATTTGCATGCATATCGATTGAAGCTATTATGGACCAGGTAGATGGTACAAGATGAAAGTTTACTGAATTTAACTTGAGTAAAAGAGATGATATTAATGAATCTTAAAATGATGTCGAGTTACAAAAGAAATAGCACCTGATTTTGTCTTTGAAGGGGATCACATTGTACCCAATTTAACGTCAAATTATACCGTCGTTACCGTCTAAACAAGCAAACTAATCAAAATTATCATTTTCCCACCTTTTTGTTTGCTTGTCTTTAAACTGATTCTTTCCTTGTCATGTTACCACTTTCTGTCTCTCTCTCTTTTTCTGGCCATTACCATAAATGGCAAGTAATGAGTGTTCTTCTGTTTTCCTTTGCTTTTTCTCTCCTCATTTTCCAAATGGTCAAAGGTTCTACACTTCCTTTATTTTTCGTCAGAAATTGAACTCCAAAAATTCACAAATCTTCAACCAAACTCCATTGTTCCACTGAAAATACTAACTCTCTGTTACTCTCTACATTTTGGCGGAAAACGCATACACGAAAGAAAGGTCAGATTTCCATTTTGATTTTGTTCTTTTTTCTCTCTCTGTCTTATTAGTGATTTGGCTGTCGTCTTGTTCCTATTTGAATGTCTTACGATTTTCATTCTGCAAGTAGAGACCTTATTATGTAGAGGGGAGCAATGAATAGATTAATATATTAAATAAACATTCGTAATTTGACCAAATGATAGACACCGATTATTAGATGGGGAGTGCCGATTTATCGAAAATGGAAAGAGTCTTATAATAAATTTTATTCATCTGGGAGTGCCGAAATATCAAAAACAATGAATAAATTTTATGCATTGACCTGAATAAATCTCAAAATAAAGACACCTTAAACAATATACCTTCTGTTCGAAAATATTTGTTTCATTTATTGGCCTAGATCATGTTTGTCTATGGTTAGAAGTAATAATACTTGTTAAGTAACTTCTAACTTTTAAATAAGCTTAAATTAAAGAAGTAATTTTTATCTTACTTTTATAATTATTAAATGTCTTACTTATTTTTTTTTTTTTACCTTTTATTGATAAAAAAAATATTTACTCTAAAACACATGAGTAACATTAAACATAATCTTGTCAACCAGATACATGTCTCTCCTTTCCTAAAAAGCATTCATAACATTTACAAGTAGCTATGTGTGACATAAATCAAGGATTATGTTTTTGAACTTCTCATACAAACATAAAGCATTGACAAAAACATTTCCATATTTTGCATATGTTTATAAATTTTTTATAAATACTTAATTACTTTTTATCCATAATCTCGAGGAACTCACTTATATACAGTAAATGTCATCTGGGGTTTATGAACTGATGGAGTTTTTTATGAAATTTGGTTAAACTGCTTCAAATCAAGTTGCATTCTTTCTGTTTCTTTTCCTTTTCCTTATTCACATATTCTAAACACGAACCTATTCACCCATTTGCAGATGGATCTCGAATTGTATCGAGCTGCACAAGAAGGGGATATTAGTGCTTTGAGATTACGGAGTCAACATTTTAGCACTCAGTTGATGCCAAATAAAAATACTCCACTTCACGTTGTTGCATTGTTCAATGATTCACGGGAATGCATTGAAGAAATCCTCAACACTAATGAATCATTGTTGTTTGAAGTGAATTCTGATGGAGATTCTGCACTTCATATTGCGGCAAGAAATGGAAAATTTGAAGTCGGATCAACAATGATTACAAGGACAAAGCATTCAGATCAGAAGGTTGAATCTGGCGGTGGAAAACTAGAAAGGCTTCTATCAATGAGAAATAGAAATGGGGACACTCCATTGCATGAAGCAATAATGAGTGATCAACCTGAAATGGTTGCAATGATGCTTGAGGATTACCCGGCAATAGCAAATATAGTGAATAATTCACTGGAAACTCCTCTATTTCTTGCTGCTTGTAAGAGACGGATTCGGTGTGTGATGTACATATTGGAATATTGCCCCTCTCCCGCTTTCACTGGCCCAGAAGGGAGAACTGCTCTGCATGCAGCGGTGCCTATACTTAACTCAAGAGGTACGTTTTGAATTTGAATTAATTTCATGTACAGTCAATATTCTCTGACTCAATCGTCAATTGGTTAATGTGCTTTAATTGGCGACATATGAATGGAAAAATAAGTCTTTAATTTTATTAATATTGGTACTTTTGTTCTTTAATAGGAAGATTATATTTTTGTTGAGCTGCGCTTTTTTTTTTTTTTTTTTGTCTCTAGTATGCTATTTATTCAACTCAAAATTAGAAGGTGATTGATATAAACCATTTTAATACATAAGCAAGACTTTGTTGCACTCTGCTCTGTTGACTCATGATTTTGATAAATGCAGGATTAACACAAGAGTTATTGAAAAAACATCCAACCTTAATAAAGATGGCAGACGATTTTGGATGGACTGCTCTCCATTATGCTGCACGATACGGATCCGACAATGTGGTGAAGGAATTATTAGAAATGGATAAATCTGTAGCATACGTAGTTGCAGAAGGAGATGATAATATGACAGCTCTTCATTTAGCAACATGCAAGGGAGATGTAGAGATCATGAGAGAGATCTTAATGTATTGTCCTGATTGCTGGGAGATGGTCACCGGGGATGGTCGTAATATTCTACACATTGCCGTCAAATTCGAAAAAGAAAAAGCACTCAAGTTTATCTTGAAACAATCTTGGGTTGGTCACCTCATAAATCAACAGGATGCAGGGGGGAACACACCGCTCCATATTTATGCTGCTACTAACAATTTGGAAGGCGTTGATCTTGTGAACCACCTACAAGCCAATCCAAATGTCGTGAATAAGAAACAGATGACTCCCCTTGATGTGGTAGTGCATTCTGAGATTTTTTCAGCAAGACAGGTAAAAACATTTTATCTCATTTTAATTCTTCAAGTTTTCAAGTTTCACCGTAGATTATGAAAAATAAGTTATTTCAAAGAAATGTCTACTAGTGTGTGGTTTGTCTCTGTTTTAACACTGAAACAGGGCGACATAGAGAAGGAATTAAAAAGAAAAGGTGCTCTCATGGGAATCTGGAACCCACTCAATCGTGATAATAGATCACAAATGATGAAAGCATATGAGGAAAGGAAGACGGTTATTCCGATGGACCCGAGAAAATTGGGAGACACTCAGATGGTAGTGGCAGCTCTCATGATGACAGTTACATTTGCTGTCGGATTCACCATCCTCAGAGGGTATAAGGAGAACGATGGCCATGCAATTTTATCGAGAAATCAGTTTTTTATAATCTTTGTTATAGCGGATGCATGGGCCATGGTTCTTTCTGCTTCTGCGCTTTCTTTATACATGGTTGCAGCTATGTCCTCCAGTCGGCGAAGTATTATACAGAGATATTATACAGCCACGATACTTATTGAAGTAGCCATGTGCTGTATGATAACTGCTTTCATGTTTGGTTTGCTTGTTGTAATAGAAGAGATAGTACCACTGGCTTTTATAGAACTCGTAACCTGCGCTTTTTGGTGTCGCTTCTTCGTGTACACAATAAAAGCCATACGCAAGAGTATTGGTTCTTGGAAAAACTTGTAATATTTGTAAGTTTTCTACACATCAGCAGTCTCACTCTTGATTTGTGTAACCTGATATTCATTAGATTTTTAGTAAATATGTATTTTTTTAAGATTTTGGAATCTTAATTTTTGTTTATTTAGGCAACACACATGAAAATCCTAACCCTATATATA